CTCCTCCCACCTCAAGCCGCACCCCCATTTCCTACCTACTAACCTCATCCCGCCCCCTTGACCTGTCTGTCCTCCCTGGACTGACCTATCTCCTCCCTACCTCCCCACCTACACTCACCTTTACTGGCTCCATCCCCACCTCTTTGACCTGTTTGTTTCCTCTCCACCTATCTTCTCCTCTATCCATCTTCTATCCACCTCCCCCTCTCTCCCTATTTATTTTAGAACTCCCTTCCCCTCCTCCATTTCTGATGAAGGGTCTAGGCCCGAAACGTCAGCCTCTCTGCTCCTGTGATGCTGCTTGGCCTGCTGTGTTCATCCAGCCCTGCACCTTGTTATCCCAGAGTGAGGTAAGTTTGTTTACAACATGTCATTGTGCTGTTTCCCTCCTCTGTTCCCCTATATTTTGAAAAGTATATTCCTCCAAGTCTTTATTCCCTGTTGTCCACAATGGTAGGTGTGGCAAAGAAGAGAAACAGTACCTACAACTCCACACACTGGAACTCTGGAACTGGCTTTCCCTTCAAAGTGATCAATTTGATCAGAAGTTGAGATGATCAATCCTCGACGGTCAGAGTTGAGGACAGTATCTGAGATGATGCACAAGTATTGGTCTCTCTCGTGCCAGTGAGAGACACACACTAAAGACCTCATATGCAACACAGACCAAATTCTGACTATGTATGACCTAAGGGCAGGGTTAAGTTAGTTGGTAAGTAAGTTCTTATAAAATTGTGGTGGAGATACATGTTATTTTCAGTCTGGCTTTAGGAACAACAGGAATTATCTCTCTGTCAAAACCTCATTTATTCATTTATATACTTCATATACCAATGTGCTGCTTTGTATCAGCAACATCTCAAAATAAGATTTTTAAGTTCATCTAGAAATACAGAAAAGTGTAGTTGGAGACAATCTCCCATACACACAACAAAACGGTTTGTGCTGAAATCCCCCAGAAAAGCTAAATAATGTGGATGCTGGAAATCGGAAATAAAACTGAAATGCTGCAAATGTTTGACAGTTCAGGAAGCATCTGCGGACAGAAACAAAGTTAATGTTTCAAGTAGATGATTTCCTGCATTTTTTTGTTTTTATTCTCTGGTCATGTTTATATTTAATTAGTTCTTGAGCAGTAAAGGTTCACTCGATCATGACAAATTCAAAATCTACTTATGAGAATGAGCAGGGATGCCATGGATGGCACTTAGTTTGCACCCTTAATGTTGTAAAACGTGACAAGTCAATTCATAAGTGTCACCCAACAAAGATTAACACTGAGCCATAAGAGGAGATATTTCGAGCATAAACACCAACATTGATTGGTTGGGCTAAATGGCCTGTTTCTTCGATGAAGGCTGAATAATTCTGTATATTCAAAGTTCGGCATAGGAGAAGGATTGCTCCTGGACTGTCTGACTACAGACAGTTTTGAGGAGGGGATCACTATTTACATTGTCGGTAATGGAGTGAGGACTGAGTTTGGAGTTGGGGGGAAATGGACAATGCAGAGCATTAATAGAGCACTAAAATAGTTTTGCACAAGGAACAGATGATGGGTAGAGTTTTGCAACTTTTGAGGGAAAGGTGTGTGATTCTTTGAAGTGGTAGAAAATTCAGGGATTTGGTAAAGAGCAGAACAGTGGAATTAATTTCCACACACATTTGCAAAGGATTGGCACAGCTGTGATGGGCCAAAAACTCTTGTTCTGTAAACTTCTGTTATTTTACAATGTTTCTAAAACAGTACTGAGTGTCAGAATGATAGAACATAGAAGATGCCATTCATCCAATTATGCCTGTACCAATTGTTTGTAACAGTGACCCCAATTAGTCCCATGACCCCATCCTCATTTCCATAGATGTGTAAATTTTAAAATGCCCTTCAAACATTTATTGAGTTTTGTTTAAAAAGCTGTTAATTAACCTGCATTCATTGCACTTTCAGACAGCATGTTCCAGACTACAACAAATTGAGTTAAAACATGATTCCTCATGTGGTCTCTGGTTACTGAAAGATTCTGATGAAAGAAATGTGGCCCAAAGTTAAAGATTTTTCAAAACTTTCCTCTAGACTTGGATCATGCCACTATCCTCCCACCATGAAACAATCTAACCACAATCTCTTGACATTCAATGATGTTACCTTCACTGAAGCCACCACTATCAACATCCTGGGGATTATCATTGACCAGAAACTCAACTGGATTTGCCACATAAACACAGTGGCTACAAGAATAAGTCAGAGTTTAGGAATACTGTGGCAAATAACTCACCTCCTAACTCCCAAAAGCCTGTCCACCATCTACAAGGCACAAGTCAGGAGTGTGATGGAATACTCCCCACTTGCCTTGATGAGTGCAACCCCAACAACACTCAAGAAGCTCGACACCATCCAGGATAAAGCAGCCGCTTGATTGGCACTGCATCCACTCCCTCCACCACCGACACTCAGTAGCAGCAGTGTGTACTATCTACAAGATGCACTGCAGAAATTCAGCAAAAATCCTCAGATAGCACCTTCCAAACCCCCGTCCACTTCTATCTAGAAGGTCAAAGGCTGCAGATATATGGGAACACCGCCCCCTGCAAGTTCCTCTTCAAGCTACTCACCATCCTGGCATGGAAATATATCACCATTCCTTCAGTGTCACTGGGTCAGAATCCTGGAATTCCCTCACTAATAGCATTATGGGTCAACCCACAGCAGGTGGACTGCAGTGGTTCAAAAAGGCAGCTCACCACCACCTTCTCAAGGGGCAACTAGGGACGGGAAATAAATGCTGGCCTAGCCCAATGATGCCCACATCCCACAAATGAATAAAACAAAATGTCCATTCTTTATATTATCTTTCCTTGTTAAACACTTGCTACTTTTCTTTGAAGGTCTGAAATTAGCCTCCAGGGTGTAAGAATCAAGAAAACATCATCGAATATAAAGATTTAACAATTCAAAATTCCAAATCTTCATGACTTCACCTGAATTGAGGATGCTGATGACAGCAGACTGATAGTCTTGAGCATCCTGATCGCTCGAGAGCTCACAGCTTCCTCTCGGTATAGACACCAGCTGGTAGAGTTCATCAGAATTCGGTACTCCGCAGAGAAGCAGCACCACTTCATCAGAAGGTTGCAAAATCTTACTGAGGTGGATTCTCTTTGGGATTGTCAGTGCAGTTAGGAAACCAGGAGTGAGCACGAGCAACTTGCATCTGTAGGCAGCCAGCTCGGGAGTTGCAATTTTCAGATCATTGGGACATCCGACTTTATAGCAGTGGATACTTTTTGGATTTAATTGGTCCAGGAAAATCTGTTTCAAATATGCACTCCACTCTTCTGCCTCCTCTTCATACAGGATCACTAGGTCTCTGCTCGAGGCTTCTTTAATTAAAAAAAAAGTTAGCGCAGTTTAATGGTGGTATTAAATTACACTCTGTTGCAAATAGACCATAAGATAAAGGAGCACAATTAAGTCTTTTGTCCCATCAAATCTGCTCTGCCATTCAATCATGGCTGATAAGTTTCTCAACCCCAGTCTTCTGCCAACTCCCTATAACCTTGATCCCATTATCAATCAAGAACCTGTCCCTCTCCGTCTTAAATACTCATTAATTTGGCCTCCACAGCCTTCTGCGGAAATGAGTTCCACAGATTCACTACCATCTGGCTGAATAAATTCCTCCTCATCTCAGTTTGAAAGGGTCCTCCCTTCACTCTGAGGCTGTGCCCTCAGGTCCTAGTCTCTCCTACTAGTGGAAAAACTTTCTCCACGTCCACTCTGTCCAGGTCTCTCAGTATTCTGCAAGTTTCAATCAAATCCCCACCTCATCTTTCTAAACTCCGCTGAGTACAGATCCAGAGTCTTCAACTGCTCCTCATATGACAAGCCCTTCATCCCCAGGATCATTCTTGTAAATCTCTCTGCACCCCCTCCAAAGTCAACACATCTTTCCTTAGATATGGGACCCACAATTGCTCACAACATTCAAATTGCAGTCTGGCCAGTGCCTTATAGAGCCTCAGCAATATATACTGCTCTTGTATTCCAGCCCTCTGGAAAATGAATGCTAACATTGTATTTGCCTTCCTCACTGTCAACTGAACCTGCATGTTAACCTGAAGAAAATTATGAACAAGAATTCCTAAATCCCTTTGTGCTTCAGCTTTCCACAGCCTTTCCCCATTTAGAAAATACTCTAAGCTTCTTTTCTTCCTGCCAAAGTGCATGTCCTCACACCTTCCTACATTGTATTCCATCTGGCACTTTTGTCCACTCTCCTAGCCCGACCAAGTCCTTCTGCAGCCTCCTCGCCTCCTGAACATCACCTGTCCCTCCGTCTATCTTTGTCTCATCTGCAAACTCAGCAACAATGCACTCAGTTCCTTCATCCAGATCGTTAATGTATAACATGAATAGTTGTGGCCCCAAAGCTGACCCCTGCAAACTCCGCTAGTCACTGCTGCCATCCTGAAAAAACCCCTTTATGCTCACTTTCTGCCAGTCAGCCAATCCTCTATCCATGCCAGTAGCTTGCCCCTCACACCATGGGCTCTCATCTTATTTAGCAGCCTCCTATGTGGCACCTTGTTAAAGAGCTTCTGGAAATTCAAACAGATCACATCCACTGGCTCTCCTGTGTCTAACTTGCATGTTACCTCCTCAAAGAATTCTAACGCATTTGTCAGGCACGACCTTTCCTTGGTGAAGCTGTGCTGACTCAGTCCTATTTTACCATGCACTTCCAAGTAATCCACAATCTCAACCTTCAGAACGATTCTAAAATCTTACCAATGACCAAGGTCAGGCTAACTGGCCTGTAATTTCCCCTCTTCTGCCTCCCTCCCTTCTTAAACAGGGTGTTACATTAGCCTTTTCCAGTCCTCTGGGTTTCTGTCACTCTTGTGGCTCCTGAAAGATCACCACCAACGCTTCCACAATCTCCTCAGATACCTTGTTGAGACTCTTTCAGTCCACCTGAAAGAGCTTTCAGATTCCCCAGCACCTTGATGACCGCTGCACACATCTCTGTCCCCTGCCTCTCTTAAAGTTCTGGTATGCTGTTGGTATCTTTCACTCTGAAAACTGATGCAAAGTACTTATCCATCATTTTTTTGTTCCCCATTATACTTCTCCAGCCTTATTTTCATTTTTGTCTCTCTCTTACCTTCTATGTCGACTCATAGTGTCACACAGCATGGAAGCAGATCCTTCAGTCCAACCAGTCCATGCCGAACACAATCCCAAACTAAACTAGTCCCACCTGCCTGCTCCTGGTCCATATCCCTCCAAACCTTTCCTATTCATATATCTATCTAAAGGTCTTTTAAAAGTTGTAATTGTACCCACATCCACCACTTCCTCAGGAAGTTCATTCCACATACAAACCACACTCTGTGTAAAACAAAATTGCCTATGTCTTTTTTAAATCGCTCTCCCCTCACCTTAAAAATGTGCCCCCTAGTCTTGAAATCCCCCATTCCAGGGAAAAGACAACTGCCTTTAACTCGATCTATATCTCTCATTATTTTATAAACTTCTATCAGGTCGCCGCTCAACATCCTATGCTCCAATGAAAAAAGTCCCAGCCTATCAAGCCTTTCTTGGTAAGTCAAATCTTCCATACCCGGCAACATCCTGATAAATCTCTTCTGAACCCTCTCCAGCCTGATAATATCCTTCCTAACTAGGCGACCAGAACTGGACACAGTATTCCAAAAGAGGTCTTACCAAGCACAACATCACGTCCCAACTCCTATACTCAAAGGACTGAGCAATGAAGGCAAGTGTGCCAAGTGCCTTTTTAATTGCCCTATCTATATGTGATGCAAACTTCAAAGAATTATGTACCTGAATCCCTAGGTCCCTCTGTTCTACAACATTACCTAAAGCCCTGCCATTAATTGTATAACCCCTACCCCTGTGTGTTGTACCAAAATACAATACCTCGTATTTATTCAGATTGAACTGCAGCTGCCATTTTTCAGCCCATTGACCCATTTGATCAAGACCCCTTTATAATCTTGAAAGCCTTCTTCACTGTCTACTGCCACCAATTTTGGTGTTGTCCACAAACTTACTAACCATGCCTTCTTTATTCTCATCCAAATCATTTATATAAATGACAAACAAAAAAAGACCCAGAACGTTCCCTGTGGAACATTGCTGGTGACAGGCCTCCAGTCTGAAAAACAACCTTCCGCTATTACTCTCTGTCTCCTGAAATTAAGCCAATTATGTATCCAATTGGCAAGATTACCCTGATTCCCATGTGATCTAACTTTACTAATTAGTCTAATTAGTCTACCATGTAGAACCTTGTCAAAGGCTTTACTAAAATCCAAATAAACAACGTCTACTGCTCTGCCATCATCAATCTTTTTGGTAGCTTCCTCAAAACGTTCAATCAAGTTTGTGAGGCATGATTTTCCTCGCACAAAACCATGCTGACTATCCCTAATCAATTTTTGCCTCTCTAAATGTCCATAAATCCTATCTTTTATAATCACCTTCAACAATTTACCCACAACCAAAGTCAGACTCACAGGTCTGTAGTTCCCTAGTTTCTCCTTACAACCTTTCTTTAACAAAGGTACAACATTAGCCACCCTCCAGTCATCAGGCACCTCATCCATCATTATAGATGATGCAAATATTTCTGCAAGAGGTCTCACAATGTCCTCCCTTACTTCCCACAAAGTTCTGGAAAGATTTATCCACCTTTATGTTCTTTAAGACTTCCTGAACTTCCTCTTCTATAATGTTGAACTGTTTTAAAACATCAAAGTTTATTTCTCGGCATTCTCTAGACCCTGTTTCTTTCTTCACAGCAAAAACTGACATGAAATATACATTTAGTATCTCTCCCATCTCCTGGGGTTCAACACAATGATGACCTCCTTGATCCTTAAGAGGCCCTACCCTCTCTCTAGGTATCCTCTTGCTCTTAACGTATTTGTAGAATCTCTTTGGATTATTCTTAACCGTATTGGCCAATGCTATCTCATAACTCACCTTTGCCTCCTGATTTCTTTCTTTAGAATGCCCCTACATTCTTTATATTGATTAAGACATTCAATTGAACCAAGTTATCCATACCTAAAATAAGATTCTCTTTTATTCTTGACTAGAACCTCAATATCTTTATTCATCCATTGTTCCTTAATCTTACCAGCCTTACCCTTCACTCTAACAGGAACAAAATGCCTCTGAATTCTCATCATCACACCCTTGAACGCTTCCCATTTGTCAGGCGTCCTTTTACCTGTGAACAGTCTACTCCAATCACTTCTGAAAGTTCTTGTCTCATACCATTAAAAGTTGCCTTACTCCTATTAAAAACTTTAACTGTTATGGAAGGCTTATCCTTTCCCATAGCCATTTTGAAACTAATTGAATGATGATTGCTGGACCTAAAGTGATCTTCCACTTTTACTTCAGTCACCTGCCCTGCCTTATTGCCCAGAAGAAGGTCTATTTTTGATCCTTTTCGAGTAGGAGAATCCATATATTCGTAAAGAAATTTTTCTTGAACACATTTGACAAATTCTTCACCATCCAAACCTTTAACACTATGGTAACCCCAGCCAATGTTTGGAAAATTAAAATCCCCCATTATTACAACCTTTAATCTTCTATCTAACCTCTTAAATTCACTCGGTACTACTTTAATTTTTTCCCTAAAAATGTCATTCCTACCAATCTGTACAAAAATTTCTGGCTTCTCAATCTCACCTTCAACAATATGTTTGAAACATTGAGAGACATCCTTAATCCTAGCACCAGGAATGAAACAAACCATTCTAAATTTATGCTCACTGCCACTGAATCTTCTGTCTATGCCCCTGACAAGAGAGTCCCCTATAACAATGCTTCTATTAAATCTTGTCAAATGTTGCCTAACATAAGAATCATTCCAAGTGTCCAGTAACTGACTGCCCCTTCTGTTCTCCTTGGACAGACTATCCCCTTCCACAGTTCCAAAACCTGAATATCTATATGAGAGAGGAATAGCCACCAGACACTTTTGAACCACCATCTTACCTCTTCTGACAGTCATCCATCTGACTGATCCTGCCTAATAATAACTTTTCTAAATCTACGAGCCATCTCACTCTGTACCTCATATATGACCTTAATAACAGTAAGCCTACATATGTATTTATATTACTAGTTAGCTTACCCTTGTATTTCATCTCCTACTATCTTATTGCTTTTTAGTTGTCCTCTGTTAGCTTTTTAAGGCTTCCCAATCCTCGGGCTTCCCCCTAATCTTCACATTGTATGCTTTTGCTTTTATGCTGTCCTTGGCTTCCCTTGTGAGCCACAGCTGCTTCGTCCTCCCCTTAGTATGTTTCTTTTTTCTTGGGATGCACTTCTACTCTGCCTCCTGAATTACCAATGGAAACTTCTGCCATTGCTGCTCCACCATCTTCCCTAGTTCAGCTGCGCTTCCAATCAAGGCCAGCTCCTCTCATATCTTTATAGTTGCCTTTACTCAACCGTAATACCATTACATCTGAGACAAGCTTCTCCCTCTCAGACTGCAGGGGGAATTCTATCATATTAGGGGTTATTAGTGTCTTAGGGGTTCCCTCACCTTAAGCTCCCTAATCAGGACCATAGATTCATACTTGGCACTTAACTCATGAAAACTTGGTTCTCCCATGAGTGTCAGCTGTGGGTCAGTTGGTGTCATTCTCCTCACTAAGTCAGGAGGGAATGGTTAAATCCCACCCTACAGATTTGATCATAAACCAAAATCATGCTCTGGAACCATGGAACACAACACAGTCAGAAGCCAGAGCAATGGAATGCTGCACTGTTGGAGGGTCAATACTGGGGAATCGCCACACTGTTGGAGGATTAGTATTGATAGAGCACCACACAGTCAGACGGTCAATGTTAAGGGAGGACTGCATTATCGGAGGGTCAGTATTGAGGGAGGACAGCGTTGTCAGAGGGTTAATATGGAGGGAATGCTGCACTGTTGAAATGAGCTGCACTGTTTGAGGGTCAGTATTAAGGGAGCATTTCACTGTCAGAGGGGTAGTACTGAGGTAGCTCTGCAGTGTTGGAGAGTCAGTACTGAGGGAGTGCTACACTGCCAGAAAGTCAGGACTAAGGAAATGCCATGCTGTATTGTTGGAGGATCATTGCTGAGGGAATGCTGCACTGTATGGAGGGAACAGTGTGTTGTTGGAGGATCAGTACTGTGGGAGTGCTGCACTGTCAGATCGTTAATACTGAATCAGCACTGCATTGGTGGAAGGTCAGTACTGAGGGAGTGCTGTTTTGTTGCAAGATCAGTACTGAGATAGTGCTCCACTGTTGAGAGGTCGCTTGGAGGATCAATAACTAGGGTAAGGTTGGTTTAACTAAAGACTTGCGTACATTTTCAGGTGAGGGGCAGATATTAGCTCCTTGTGTTTCTGTGTACATTGCTACACAATCTTTTACAACCATCACATGACATCTGAGCAGTTAATCAGAAAGGAAGCTGCTCACAAAGCACTCTTCATAGCAGAACCACACTCTCCTGATTCAAAGATAACAGTGTTACCAATTGAACCAACTGATACTTATTCTCAATGATTGCTGCACAATTACTGATACTTGGCACACAGGCTTTATATTAGAAAAATGTGTCTTTTATTAGCATAATAACTTAAATTACTTAGTAAAACTAAAATTATATCATGTAAACACAGGGAGGAGTATTTCTTTGTTCAGTATTTAATGGTACGACAGACTTTAAATTTATTTAGCGAACCCATGGTAAACGGCTAAAGCTACTTTGAGAAATAACTAATTCTTAAAGTTAGTGATGTGACAATTATTAATATATTCTATTACAGACAAAAGGACAAAAGGAATTGAATCATTTCTATTGTTCTCTTCTGTCCATAACAAGAGTTGGTTTTAAATTTTCTTTTCCCTTTCCAACATAAATAGGTAGTGGCTTATTTATCCAAATCTAGTTTGCAAAATCCAATTTAAGAATGATCCACAGCAAATTCTTTAGGATAAAACAAAGTAGCACTTATGACCGAATTCAAAACCTAGGGAGATAGCTTGGGACACACGTTCACAGATATATGCAATCAAATTAAAGAAAAAGAGAAATAAAAAGAGAGAAGTTTTAAGTTGAAAATTTTAAGTTAAAGCTATCACAATTAGTTCACATGAATTAGATAGCTCAGTGAGTAAATGTTTAGTTGAAGTTCTTTCAGGTGGCTGTGCACGGATGTCCCTCTTATTGAAGCTCACACACAGTTACATTAATAGTGAAGCTGTAATAGTTGTCAGTTGGAAATTCTTACACTTCACAGGTGAAACACAGGTTTTCTTCCAAAGATTAAAAAGCTGAGAGACATTGTGATCAGAGATAGATTCTATCAATCAGTATTCATTTGCAAACCAATCAGCACGCATCTCTTTTACAGTATAAATGGTATTTTCCCTTTACATGAGTATTTCTTGTTAATTATCCTGATGAGCACAAGGTGAAAAGTTTTGCTAAAATGTGTCTTTTCTTTCCAGCAATAATCAAATTATTACCAAACAATTACAGTTTTAAAAAAGAGGATCCAGATCCGTCTCTTCCTGCCCTCTGGGCATTACATCTGTCAGAACTAGACATTGAGAGAACCCCAAAGTGCACCAGTTAAGGGCCACCTGTTAAAAGCACAAAATAGTAATAGGAGCTGGCCATTTGACCCATTATGTCTGTGGTGGCCAATGAAGAAACAATTCACCTGGTGCTACTCCCTTGCTTTTCCATATCACTCTGCAAATGTTTCCTTTTTGGATAAAGATCCAATTCACTTTCACATGCTTCAAGTGAAGCTGCTTTCACCATTCTGCCAGGTGCTGCGTTCCTAATCCTAAATACACTCTACATGAAAATTTTTTTTTTGCTTTTGTTTCTTTCATCAATGATTACAAATTTGTGCTACATAGCACTCAATCCTTTCACTAATGCAAAGAAAGAGTTTTTAATCTTTGTCCAGATATCTCATGAGTTGAATACCTCTATCAAATCTACTGTTTGCTCATATTGAGGGATTAATTAAAAATAGTTTCACCTGTGAAATTGCTCCTTTAAATACTGAGATGTAAAACCTGACCTGGGGGTGTTTGCAACTCAATGAGGGAGAAATTCTCTTTAAAACAAGAGTACGACAGACAGACAGACCCACCCGGTGCTGGAGAGTCCGAGCTGCAGAGAGACGTTGAATAGGCTGGAGCTTTCCTCCCTCGAGTGCAGGACGGCTGAAGGGCGACCTTAGAGGTTTATAACATCATGAGGAGCATGGTTAAGGTGAATAGCCAAGTCTTTTCCCCAGAGTGGAGAGTGCAAAGATTGAGGGCAGAGGTTGAAGGTGAGAGAGAAAAGATTAAAAGGGACCTGAGGGGCAACCTTTTCATGCAGAGGATGGTGCGTGTATGGAACAAACTGCCAGAGGAGGTGGTTGAGGATGGTAAAATAGAATATTTAAATGGCGTGGATGGGTAGATGAACAGAAAGCATTTAGAGGGACATGAGCCAAATGGCACTTGAACAGTTTAGGTCCACATGGACAAGTTGGACTGAAGGGTCTGTTTCTGCGCTGTATAACACTATGACTCTGTGACCATTAATCAACTTCATCATATGCATTAAGCCAACTCACAAACACTACAGAACAGTCTCTATAACTGATGAAAGACAGAATCAACAGTCTCACTCAAACCATAGGAGCAGACTCAATCCTCCAAGATCATTGTTTAGCGTCATCAAGAACCCAGAGACTTGGATGAGGTCTTAAGCAGCATCTTACCACACTAACACAGGCCTGACCATTCTATGTGTTCCTACTTCAACACAGCCTCCTGCCCTTCAGTCATATCTAACGCTTGGAGCTATCGCCTTCTGATAATTTTAATTCTCTTGCACGTTGTTGCTCATTCAGTTTGAACGTGTCTACTGTTCAGACATTAATGCTCTTGGTCTTTGTCTGTATGATGAGGCCGTCCCTCTATGAAAAACATCTCTTGACCAAAGATGTTGGCGACGACAGAACTTCAAAGTAATTTCAAAAGAACTGTCAATGTATGATGTTAATTGTATTTAGGAATCTCAACAAAAACATTAGCGATTCATTTTCTTTTCAAAAGTGGCCTGAGCATTCACCACTTACTGCATAGATTCCGAAGAGAATCTCTTAGGATTCAGTGTAGTAACCCATTATCTATAAAGTTAACAAGTATCATTTTTGCATAATAATACAATTCTTCATTTAAACAGCATCGATGGATCTGAAATGCAGCTGTACAAGCGAATATCAGTTCCGCCTAGATGCAGAGTGAGAAACAATCCTGGTCACTCAGTAAGGACAATACATCAAACAAGAAAACCGGGGAATAATTCAGTAACCCCGCTCCTACCTGAGCTCCTCATGTTGACGGCGCAAGGAGCAAATTCTGGCGGATCTCTCGCTGCCAGCCTAGTCTGGTACCTGGCTATGAACCAACACTGAGTAAAGAACAGAACATTGTCCTTCCAGCCTTATGTGTAAGAATTTGTGTACTGACACTTCCTGATTTGTAACTACAAGCCAATAGCAACATTCTGTAACGCAGCTCAGTCTATTGTCAGCTGGCGGCAACTAGGCGTATTTTTAGTTTGTGCAGCAACCTGTTGTTTCCTGCGTAAAAGTAAAATGAAAAGCTGAAAGTTCTGGGGTTTTTTTTTTGCTGCTTTTCATTCTTGGCTGATGTCTCAGTCCCGAAGCTCCTGAAAAAAATTAATTGATGAGGCGCCTAAAGCTGTTTGAAAAGCTGACATTAAATCTAATGGAGTATTTGAAAATTGCTGTTTCCAAACTTCCAGAAATTAGATTTCTGCGGCGGGAATAATTGCGGGCAAGTTGTCAGGTTTTCTATTGCTTGCTGGATAGGTTTCACTGTTGTCAACCCTCTAAAAATAGTGGCTAGTAGATCGGCCGGTTCAAAGCATAAAGCACGCTGGAGGAACCTTCAGCTCACAGTCCCAATCCTACACACACACACACACACCAAACAACTGTCCAAAATTAAACTGTGAAGTGGAATAACATCAACCTAAATTCTCACGTATAATTACAGCCTTATTCCGCATGAGAGAAGAGAATATGTTGGATACTGACGGGACAATTTCATTGTTCTACACTTTTCACAGGATCGATGAGGGAGATCAGTTAGCTCAGTTGGTTGGACGGCTGGCTTGCGATGCTGAGTAAAGCTAACACTCTGGGTTCAATTCCCACGCCACCTGAGGTTACCATTAAGGATTCTTCTTCCCAGTCCGGGTGACCCTCAGGTTAAACCATCACCAGTTTGTCTCTCAAATGTGAGAGCCCTCTGGGACTATGGTGACTCAGTGGTTAGCACTGCTGCCTCACAGCACCAGGTACCCGGGTTCAATTCCACCCTCAGGCAACTGTCTGTGTGGAGTTTGCACATTCTCTCCGTGTCTGTGTGGGTTTCCTCCCACAGAGCAAAGATGTGCAGGTTGGGGGGATTGGCCATGCTAAATTTCCCATGGTGTTCAGGGATGTATAGATTAGGTGGGTTATGAGGGATAGGTCTGGGTGGGATGCTCTGAGGGTCAGTGTGGACTTGTTGGGCTGAAGGGCCTGTTTTCCACACTGTAGGGATTCTATGATATGATTATAAAACACATACAGATCTTCATTTTGGCTCACATTGCTTACTACTGTGAGCTGGTGCACCTGTTTCCCCAACCAATAACCTTGGTGATGGAGGGGACTGGAGTAAATTGACTGGATTAACTAATATGGAGAGGCATGGCCTTGAGGTATTATTGCTGGACTATTAATCCCAAATTTCAGGTAATGTTCTGGGGACCTGGTCTCACCATGGCAGATGAATTTGAATTAAGATTCTAATAGTGACCATGAAACACTGCTGACTGTCAGAAAATTCCATCTGGCTCGCTAATGTCCTTCAGGAAAGGAAATCTGCCATCCTTACCTGGTCTGTTCTACATGTGACCCACAGCAATGTGGCTGACTCTCAACTGCCCTCTGAAATGGTCTAGCAAGTCATTTGTGAGATAACAAGGTGTAGAGCTGGAAGAACAGAGCAGGCCAAGCAGCAATAGAGGAACAGGAAAGCTGACGTTTCGTGTCTGGACCCTTCTTCAGAAATGCATTTCTGAAGAAGGGTCCAGACCCGAAATGTCAGCTTTCCTGCTCCTTTGATGCTGCTTGGCCTGCTGTGTTCATCCTGCTCTACACCTTGTTATCTCAGATTCTCCAGCATCGGCAGTTCCTACAATCTCTAGCAATTCACTGAGTTGTCACAATCATGACAAAGGTGATCAATGAGGGTAGAGTCGTGGATGTTGTCTACCGGATTGTAGTCAGGCTTTTGACAAGGTCCCTCATGGTAGGCTCATCCAGAAGACTAAGATGCATAGGATCCACAGCGACTTGACCACTTGGGTTCAGAATTGGCTTGCTCATAAAATGCAGAGGGTAGTTGTGGAAGGGTGTTTTCCTGGCTGGAGATTTATGACTAGTGGTGTTCCTCAGGGATACATACTGGAAACTTTGCTGTTTGTGATATTTATAAATGACCTGGATGAAAATGTAAATGGGTGGGTTAGTAATTTTGCAAATGATACAAAGATCAGTGAAGTTGTGGACAGTGTAGAAGGTTGTCAAATGATACAGTGGGATATAGATCAGTTGCAGATATGGGCTGAGAAATGGCGGATGGAATTTAATTTGGGTGAGGTGCTGCACTTTGGGAGATCAAATGTTAAGGAAAACTGTACAGCATTGATGTACAAAGGGATCTTGTGGTTCAAGTCCATAGCTCTCTGAAAATGGCCTCACACATAGGTATGGTTGTAAAGAAGGCATATGGCATGCTTGCCGTTATTGGTCGGGGAATTGAGTACAAGAGTCAGGATGTTATGTTGCAGCTTTATAAGTCTTTGGTTAGGCTACACTTATGCCATTCCTGTGCTGTACTGTTCTCTGTTCTAAAAATAAAACCAGAAGGACCACCTGGCAATGGTGGTCAATTGCAATGGCAAAAACAAATCTGTCGACGCTGCAAAATTTTCCTCACTAACATCTGCGGGCCAGTCAAAACTGGGAGAGCTGTCTCACAGACTTGTCAAGCAAAAGCCTGATATAGTCATACTTACAGAATCATACTTTACAATGTCCCAGACATCACCATCAGTCAGGATGGAATTGCACTGGGTATCCTCAAGATTGACTCTGGACCCCATAAAGCATCAGGTTAAACATGGGCAAAGAAGCCTCCTGCTGATTACCATGTACTGTCCTCCCTTGACTGATGAATCTGTACTCCTCCATGTTGAACAACACTTGGAAGAAGCATTAAGGATGGCAAGATTGCAAAATGTATGCTGAGTAGGGAAGTGCAATGTTCATCATTATGTTATTCTTAACTTTATCCTCATCAATTGCTGGGTGCAGATGCATCTGTCCATAACAGAATCAGTAAGGGTAACCAACACATAGTCCTTGTGGAGACAAAGTCCCACCTTCACATGAGAATAACGGCCATCGTGTTGTGTAGCACTATCATTGTGCTAAATGGGACAGACTTCACACAGATCTAGCAACTCAAGGCTGGGCATCCTTGAGGTGCTGTGGGCCACCAACTGCAGCAGGATTGTACTCCAGCACAATCTGCAACCTCATGGCCCAATATATCCCCCACTCAACCATTACCATCAAGCCAGGAGATCAACACTGGTTCAATGGCGAGTGCAGGAGGGCGTGCCAGAAGCAGCACCAGGCATACCTAAAACTGAAATGTCCATAAGACTATAGATATAGGACCATAAGATATAGGAGCAGAATTTGGCCATTTCACTGATGAAGTCTATTCAATCACGGCTGATATCTTATGGCCTAACTAACTGGAGGAGGAGGAAGTTCCACACATAACCTCAATGAGGGAGGAGCTCAGTACGTAAGTGGAAAAGAAAAGGCTGAAGCATTCACAGCAATCTTCAGCCAGCAGTGCCAAGTGGACGATCCATCTCTGTCTCCTGCTGATGTCCCTGATTCACAGATACCAGTCTTCAGCCAATTCAATTCTATCCATGTGATATCAAGAAACAATTGGAGGCATTGGATAATGCAAAGGCTATGGGCCCTGTTGGAAACAGTACTGAAGACTTCTATTCCAAAACTTGCCATGCCCCCAGAGAAGCTGTTACAGCAGAGCTATAACACTGACATCGACCTGACATGGAAATTTGCCTACTTACGTCCTGTACACAAAAAGAACATACCCAACCCAGCCAGTTAACACCTGAATAGTTTACTCTCGATCATCAGTAAAGTGATGGAAGGTGTCGGTAACAGCGCTATCAAGCAGCACCTGCTCAGCAATAACCTGCTGAGTGACGCCCAGTTTGGGTTCTGGCAGGGCCATTCAGCTCCTGACCCCATTACAGCCTTAGTTCAAACATGGACAAAAGAGCTGAATTCCAGAGGTGAGGTGAGAGTGACAGCCCTTGACATCAAATCCACATTTGACCGAGTGTGGCGTTAGGGAGCACTAGCAAAATTGGAATCAATGGGGATCAGAGGGAAAATTCTCCACTGTTTGGGAGTTATGCCTGGCATATAGGAAGATGGTTGTGGTTGTTGAAGGTCAGTCATTGCAGCTCCAAGACACCTCTGCAGGAGTTCCTCAGGGTAGTGTCCCCGGCCCAACCATCTTCAGCTGCTTCATCAATGACCTTCCCTCCATCATAAAGTCAGAAGTGGGGATGTTCGCTGATATTGCCCAAGTTCAGCACCATTCGCAACTCCTCAGACACTGAGACAAATCCGTGTTCAAATCCAACAAGACGTGGATAATATCTAGGCTTGCTCTGGAAAGTGGCTAGTAACATTCAAGGCATACAAATACTAGGCAGTGACCATCTCCAATAACAGACAACCCGCCCACGACCCCTTGACATTCAATGGTGTTACCATCACTGAACCTCTCACTGTCAACATTCTGCAGGTTATCACTGACTCATCATGTTTAGCTGCACGGTGGCTCAGTGGTAAGCTCCTGCTGCCTCACAGCATCAGGGACAGGGTTCAATTCCATCCTCTGGTGACTGTGTGGAGTTTGCACATTCTCCCTGTGTCCGCATAGGTTTCCTCCGAGTGGTCCAGTTTCCTCCCAAAGTCCAAAGTTGTGCAGGTTAGGTGGACTGGCCATGCTAAACTGTCCATAGTGTCCAGGTATGTGTAGGTTAAGTGGATTAGCTATGGGAAATGCAGAATTGCAAGGATAGGGTGGGGGGTTGGGCCTGCTTCCACTCTGTAGAGATTCTACGATTCTATATAAATGCAGTGGCTACAATGGTAGGCCAGAGGCTGAGGACATTGCAGTAGTTAACCCACTTCCTGACTCCCAAAAGCTAGTCTATCATCTACAAGGCACAAGTCAGGAGTGTGATGGAATACACCCACCTGCCTGGATGAGTGCAGCCCCTACAACACTCAAGAAGCTTGACACCACCCAGGACAAAGCAACCGAATTGATTAGCACTATGTCCACTCCCTCCACCACCAGCACTCAGTAGCAGCAGTGTGTACTATCCACAAGGAACACAGCACAAAATCACTAAAGATTCTTAGACAGCACCTTCCAAACTCATGTCCACTTCCTTCTAGAATG